TTTGGAAATTCAAAATGTCGCATAGGTTCGACGTAAATTCAAAAAAACTAAAATTGGTCATTTCCTTGAATGTCTTATATCATCGAAAGTATAAGAGATATAAAAAAAATTTTATATAAAAGTGACTGTCTTTAATACGTTTAATTTAGAATTGATGCCAAAAAAATTCAAGATGGCTACTTTTGAGGAACATTTACCAACTTCCTAAAGTTAAATAGGCGCCATATGGGATTTTTAGATTAGGTACTTGATAGATCAAAGACAGTCACTTTTATATAAAACTTTTTTATATCTCTTATACTTTCGATGATATAAGACATTCAAGGAAATGACCAATTTTAGTTTTTTTGAATTTACGTCGAACCTATGCGACATTTTGAATTTCCATAAGAAAATTTTAAATAAGCATCCAAAACTGCAAAACATTGCCCATTTAACCAATTCTCTATCTTTAATAATAACAAAGTTACCCATGCAATCCCACCCGATTTGGGACACACTGTATATGCATATGATTTTCATTGTAGTCATTTTCCATGTTCTAATGTTTCACAATCGTTAGTGGCATTTTTTAATGAATTCATAACTCTGTGTTGGATTTATTTCCTCATCTGATGGTAAGATTCCCGATGACGGCAACGGCAACTCAATAAAGGACTATTATTATTATCTCGATTATTATTAAACTCTCTAGTTAATCATTGAAATAGGCTACAGTGTACACTATAACTACTATACACTTTGTCCAAGATAAGTATGTCTATCATGAGGATTACCGAAATAGAAGATACGAGAAAATTGCGACTACTTCCGAATATAAGTATGCCAGAATTGTCGTTATCATTTTGTGAGAATACCTATCGGTCAAATTTCGTGGAAAATGGAAAATTTCTCCGATAGGTATTCTCGCACGATTAGGACATTGTACGCTGGTCAGGGTGTATAATAATTATACACCGTGGCGCCGGTGCGCCATCCTGTTGAAACCAACACTTTCCAACTTTCATTTTGTGTGTACCGTATATCGTTGGATTCGTAATCTAATAACTAATAACAAATGCTACTCAATATAGTACGTATGTTTTTTGTTTCCTTTTTTGCAGATTTTATCTACTTTTTTACGGGCTATATAAAATAAAGTTCATGTTATCCCCGAAACTAAACGAAAATCTCATCCTCGCACCGTCTTATAGAGCTCAAAAAGTCGCAATAAGAAAGTGTGTTTTTTTGTATTTGTGCAAATAACATCAGAAAAAAATAAAAACCAAATCGGTAAATTTTGGTTTTGGTAGCATATCTTCGGAAGTAGTCGGAATTTTCTAGTTGCCTTTAAATCATGTTAACTCTTTAATTGCGCATCTTTTCTCTAATTTGAAGTATATATCACAGCTGACTCGTCCGCCATTTTGGAGCCCACTGACAATTGACGCTTGCAAAACGTTGCATGTATTGTCTTATTTAAATAAAAATCATTGCTTTTTTAACGTTTATTGTTGCATAAAGGTAAGACGTTGCACCTTAAACTGTTTTTGTGCATAGATTTGGAGTGTTAGTGGGCTCCAAAATCGCAGACGAGTCTGCTATCTTAATCAAGTACAGTAGTACTTCGGCGAACTTCTACAAAATGGCTTGCTATCTTTGGTTGCTGTTTTCATATGGATAGATATTCATTAATTTCTAATTTTTTGAAATATCAATATCTACAGAACAAAATATCAGTGGAAGTTTAATTTTTTTAAATAAATTGTGGAAAATCATGCCAATTTTGAAACATGTTACCTTTTAAGCCATAATAGTTTCTTCAAGAAAAAATAAAAGATGCGCTCTTCTAAATTCCTGAAAATCGACACTTTTTGGGACTGTTTGGCAGAAGCTTCTTAAAGAGGATTTTATCCGTAAATGCTTATGGATTCAAATTAGTCCGTAATGAAATACATAAGTTTTTTGAATTTGCCGACAGTTAGATTTGTTTCGACTGACTGAAAATTGGAATTTCAACGAAAAGCAAAGTGCCAAATTCTTGACAAAACAGCTTCCTAGCTCAAACGAGATATTAAAAAAACATTTTTGACAGTGTTGGGATCTACCATCTACTCTCAATTTATTCTTAATATTCCAACACTGTTTCAACGAAAAGTGTGTGTTTTTTTTAATTTTATTAATTTTTCGCTTGATGAAAACACCTTTGAATTGTTTGCACACTGTCTTCCAATTTTTGGGCGACAGTTACCTCATCACACACATCTTTCATTTAAGTATTTATTTATTCATTTTTGACCCTTATTTTTTAAGTGGGTGTAGTTTCAGCCAAAGCTGCTTTACCAGCCCAACCCACTATACATTTACAAATATCTAAGCCCATACCCGGATTCAAATCAGTGACCCTTAGTATCGCAGTCGAGATTCAACACTACTGCGCCATACGGGCCGGCACACACTTTCCATTATGTATTTCTATTATCAATTTAATAATTGTGACAGTCGCTGAAGAATTGTCGTTTCCCCCTAGAAAAGTGCCAGAATATCCCCCAAAGATTCCGATGTGAGTAGGCTAGGACGAGCAAGAAAAATCCTAGAATATCCATCCATTCATTTGCCCAAACAATAGAGATCAACGGGAAAATTTAAAGGGGGGGGAGGGGAGATGTAAAGGTAAATTGTAGGGAAATTTGCTACTATTCTAATGGACATCATTTCCACAACCAATCAGCGGGAAAGCAAATTGTCTAGTTCCTTCTTTTAGGCGATAGCGATGAATTTTAGGACCAAAATCTTTTCAGCTCTCCCAAGCCGTTTTGCTCCATTCTTGGTGTTTTTTTTTCGCAAACTCTACGCCCATCAATTTTTTTCGGATCCCATTGAAAAGAGAGGAACTCACCAACGGATTTGAGATGTTTTCGTGGCAACTTTCCATAGAAAAAAGTAAACAACCGAAACCACAATAACATTATATGTTTCGCCTACATGCCGTGTTGATAGCAGCTATCGTTAGCCTAATTAACTAACTTTAGCCTAGTTATACGAATACCACATTGTGGTCTGTTTGCGTCGCCGTCCATTGTCCAAGAATGATTAATTACTAACAGGAATATGACGCGCGCACGTTTCTACTGCAAGTAGTGTAAGCGGCTAGAAGAGGAAATCAACGAAATTGGCTAATTAATGTAAACACAATTCGGGCAACGACCTTAGAAGCTTATGTTTTCCATCTGGCATTTTACTTCCTCATACCGACCGTCGAAATGAGGATGTCCTAGCGTTGAGGTTCCCGAAGAGGGGTGACGTATGTGCCGGCAAAGTTACGTCGGCCTGACAGAGTAAACCGTTTTGCATTTACTATTAGGACGTAGTATGACTTGTTTAAATCGTACACGCATTCGGTGTCAATGTTCTTTTAATGCATGACCTCCTTTGTTTAATTTTTCTTTAGTGTAGGTTCGCTGGATTGTACGCAGAGTGAAAAGAATGTTCTTCCGTTTGGTACGTAATTGGGTCACTCTACCATGGGAATTCTATGACGTTATTATAAAATGTGACGGCAAGATGATAAGCTTGGCGCAATGAAAGTATTAAAGGGCATACATAGATTTCTATGGACGTGGGAATAAAGGACTAGTTCTTGTGCATACGTAATTGACTGCACTTGGGCATTCTATGCACGTGTGTTTTTGATGTGGCCCAAATCGGTAAATCACCAACAGGAGGAAAACGCGGATGAATAACGTATTGTTAAGATAAAAAAACACATCTGCTTAGCGGCGTACAATATCGAGATAAATTGCATCAATTGACCCCACATCTGCACTTTTAGAGCACACTAAGACGAATGACCTCCCTTGGTTTAATATCAATTGATCAACGTCTTCGGGAGACGCGTGTACTCTTTAATTAAATTAAGCTAGAATAAAGACGAAGATTTATTAATAATAAAGGGCAAAGTGTCCTAATACGATTTAAGTCTAACGCTCATTTTTTATCGTCCCTGGAATTCTATCTAACCACCAACAGGCTTTTTCATTGCGATTATTTAGAAAAGGGGAGAAAGTGGAAATCTTACATTTTTATTGTTTGAGAGTGATTTCACTGGGTTATGACTAAGATACTTGACGTAATTACAACATCACAATGGTTCATTGTCATTCGACAGGAAAGCGGGCTATGTATTATGTCTCTTTGTTTTTAGTGGTTTGTTTACTTTACACTGAAATTTGATCTTGTTATGTTGTTTGTTGGTGGCGATCCAATGTTTTCCATCGAAAGTAGTGCATAAACGAACTTAAACATCAAATGCTCCTGGTCTAACCACCGGCGGTCTAACCACTAGGGTATCGATTTTACACATATATGGCTCTTCTTGGTCGTACAAATGAATACGACTAACTTATTGGGCATTGTGGCAATAAGTTTGGGCCGACTCGCATCTAACTTCGTTGAAAACTGCTCTAAAAAGCCTCTATTGGTCTACTTGTAACAAGAATAGAATAGGTGTTAATAAAATAAATTGACCCAATTTAGTAGGCAAATTGATTTCCAGTGATGATTTTTAAATTAGGGCCATTTTACTGGTAGGGGAATTTGAGTCGGCACCGATAAGCAATGTAACGTTTAGGGTAACTTTTGGCACAAATTTAAATATTGATAACTGCTATCTCTATTATGTAAATTTGTTTAAAGATCTTAACGATGTGTGTCGTGGCCTACTATGTTGAGAGTAAAGAGAATTTAGGATGGTCGTACTATCGTGTCCCCCTTTCTTCTCTCTCGCGTATCTACGGTTTGATTTGACAAAACGTTATGAAATAATTTTATTGGCGGACATCAAGCGCTTATCATTTTAGCTCAGCGTTACGCGATAAAAAAATTACTACTAAAAGCAAACGGAAACGTCCCGGATATGCGTAGTAACTTTTTGTGTGATAGCCGATGGCACTTTGGTGTAAAGATGTTGATAATGAACAAAAACGGAAGCGCTTGTTAACGCTGTCTCTTTTTTGTTACAGATTTTATGCAAACCAGGAAGCGGTGCGAGGAACCTTCGCTTAAGAAAAAACTTAAACGTAACACCAACGCCTCCAAACCAAAAAAGTTGGTGAGGATGTCCCTTGCCGATTCCGGAAGTTGAAATGCTGTACATCACAACTACCAACCCCACATACATGTTACAAATTAAAGATCTCGTATTATTATTGAAAATTACGTGTACAGTACAATTTTTTTAAAGAATTTATTACTATTTAAGTTGTACAGTTTTTGAGTTTGTTTGATTTTATTTCTGTACTATGTAATATAAATTGTGTATAATTTGTATTTATTTTCAATTTGATCTCCAAAATTACTCGTTTGGAAGTAATATGTAATACTAATTGCCCTATACGGTTACCTAAACATTGTACAAAGTCGCCTAAGATTATTTCGGTTCCTAAATCTACACTTGTGTAACGTTCTGATCAAAACCTCCGTAACTGTGTGATTCTTCTACGGGGTCTCTATTGTAAAGTATGCCATTACCTAATTATTGTATAAATGAAACTTTACGGAGACACCCCGTAAACGCGAATAAGGGCAATTTTAGTTTAGGTATCTTACTGTAAGTGGGAGGGTAAAAGGTTTGTTTAAAATCTGTCTATTAATAAGCGTTTACTAAAAGGATTCGGCAATACTTAACTACCCAAAGAACAGAAATTAAGTACAAATGGATTGTATGGGAATGGTTTTGAGAGCTTATTACTTGGCTTAAAATTTTGTCACACGTTGGCAGCTTTTTAATGCGGAATGAAGGAAAGGCAATTTGAAGTTTGAGCTCCTCATCGAAAGGTTTTGCAAGTTATCGTTTGCAGGGTTGCAAGATCTCTTCTTCTAATTTTAATAATAAATATAATCTGTTAAAACTTCATAATATATATATTTTTTTCTATTAACACCTGTGATGTATTAAAAATGATCTCAAATAATAAGAGAAATATTTTTATTTTTGCAAAGGGCACTACTTTGTTGTTCATTAAAAATATTTTAAGTCTTTGAAAGATTTACCTAATTAAGTGTTCGTTTTAAGAAAAATGAACAATAGTGCACTGCCCTTTAAAATAAGAAGTTATGTATTATGTAATGTAAATTTGTTGTAAAATATATAACAGATTTAACGTATAAATATTACAAAAAGTAAAATAAATTAATAGGCTTATTTGTTACTGTATTTTTGTGTTTTATTTTATTTGCTACTTAGCAATACCTACCTAGTCACGAGTTTAATAAATTTTTTACTATTTTAATGAAAACGTTAATGTAAGAAATAGAAGTGGCATTTAATGTTTTAAAACATGATAGCTACTGAACTTTTTCTTTAAAAAAAAAGCGATTCCAAAATATACTGTAGATATTAAAAAAATGTAGATTGAATTATTTGTTTGTTAAAAACGTAAATTTTCTTTTAAAAGAGGTCTTGCTAAAATGAAGCCACTAATAAGTGGTGCTGCGAACGCTGAAGACTACTGCGATTAGCTTAAAGAAATTAAAAGCACATTATTTTCAATATTTGGTGAAATGGAAATTGGCAAAATTTCACAGAAACTTTGATGGCATAACATGTTACTACAACAATTGTCAGGTAAAGAGGGTTGCGAATGAAATGACCAGAAAACTTATGGGCTGAATACTGCTTAAGGTTAGCACATTTTTGTGTAACTAATGGATTTGATATTTCTAAATTTTCAGCTCTGGTTACCTTCCTCAAAAAGAAGACCACCAGTAAAAAAAAGTCAAGATATTTAAAGAACTTCCTAACTGATGGTGTTTATGAATGTGAAAGTAGAAATAATGTATGGAATACTAATTAAGACATTTACAATTACGAATAAAACCGGATGCAGTAAATTATTTAGAAATCTGTAGCAAATATATATTAGGCCAAATTTGAAATCGCCTCAAATAACGCGAAATGGAACAGTCACCAACCAGGCTAAACAGAAATCATCAGGAAGTTGACTCCTCAAGTCTGCAAAATGTGTCAATTTGGTAAATGCTCTTTATGTTAGTGGACCTCGCTTTCGTATAACATTGATGTTTTAGGGTTTAAATTAAATACATGGTGATTGGCGTTCGGTTTCTGTTGCTGAGAAGTATGACACTGATTTGTATTTATCAACAAACACTAAAATGGAAAAACTTGACAACTAAGGTCTATTAATCAGTAAGTGTAATTAAAGCATGAAATGAATGGTGCAAAAAGTAATTTTATCACAATTTTCGAAAGCACGACCTTCCGCCTAAGGCGCCCCCGAGGTTTATTAATAAACCCAGGGAATTTGTACGTTTTCTACATTGTTTTGCATTCTAATGTTAATATCAAGACATTAGCAACTGTGTTGTGGTTATTTAGGCTTCTTAAATACTTATGACAAAACCGAAAACTATGTTGGCTCACCACGCAAGTGGAAAAAGTAACAAAATAAGCAGTTATATTTTGGTGAAATCACATACTCCTCACATGCATTTTTTGTTAAAACTTTGGGGTATTGTTTTAGTAGTTAGAGTTGTGATATGTGCCAAAAGTGAACATACCTAATCGATAGAACATTTTATGCTCTATAAAAAAACACCTTTTTTTATAAAAAGCTTCAGTATTTTAAAAAAAGGCGCCATACTCTTTCAAATCTTTGGGTATTTTATTTTACAATTCTGATATTTCAATTACTTCTGCTCACCGATTCTGCGATTCATCGACTGTCCCATTAACAACGTGTAATTCAATAATTTTTGGGGCACCATTTCTGAAGCGGAATATTTCTCACCTCATCTCAGTGTAAAAGCAAGGGTTGCTACTTGCTCTCAGTTTTGAGAGAAGGTAGGCCGTCGTATATCTATTGCGAACCCACTAATTTAAGCTTAACTTATGCGTATTTTAAAATTTATGGCAGTGCTTGTGTCCATAAGTAGCGTGTATGATGTTTTTCCCAGGAAACATCGTATTATGTACCTTGTTCTACTTCTATGACCCAAATAATTAAAACTGTTGGCCAGTATCTTGACTTCGCTTCGTTTTTTTTCTTGCTGGTTGACAGACTAAACTCAACAGAGAATTGCGCTGTATGTGTAAAACGTAGGTAGACCCGTGTCATAGAGAATATAGTAGGTATAAGCAGTAACGTACTTTAATTTTTTATTTATTTCATTTTAATTTTGACTTTATTTTTGAGTGTGCGGGGTTTCAGCCAAGGCTGCTCTTTCAACCTGACCCACTATACATTTACAAATATACATGCCCGAACCAGGGACCCTTGGCATCACAGTCCAGCTTTAACTGAACTGCGCCACACCCACACGGCCGGTGCTTGCACAATATATCGGTTCTCTAGCTTCCGACTCCTTTCTTTTATTAAGTATGGTATACCAATTTTGTGTTTTTCTTCGGATCGGATATTTCGACCCGTGTAGGGGCGGGCAGTAGAATAACCCTACCGCAGAAACCACTGCGTGTCGTAAGAGGCGACTAAACAACTTCGTATTGTCCCGCAATCTGCTGTAGTGCTGTGGATGGAAGGAGGAATTCTCTGTGCTGTGAGATTTTTTTTACGTAAAAGGTAATTGACTTTCTTCATTTAACTTTCTTATTTATAGAGATGTTTTTTTTTTAAATTTTAACCAAAGATTCTCCCAGTGAAGGCAAACATATCGCATATTCTAAACATCCGGTGCGCAATACTAAGTTTCTTATTTATAAGAATATATGTATATGCCATTATTTATTTTCGTTTTTACACATAAATAGTCCGTTATATGACCATCCGAGAAGTATTGATCAATTCATGAAAAATGCGCTAAGGTACTCGCCTTAAATTAAGGCGAAATCTGACTATCAGGTCATTCCTTCACTTCTCTATTTTTTAAATTCATTTACCTTGTTTTGTTGTTCCTATGTTATTGATTTCGCTGTCCGTTTTACACCAAAAGTTCGAGTATTTCATTCCTTTCACGCTCTTGACTCTTGAACAGCATTGGATACGGGCCGGTCTAGGCTCATAATGACATTTTAAAATTTAAAATTATCTTAGAATCTCTTATTATCTAAAAAACCTTCTTAGAATTTCTATAGAACCATGCCTAAAATTCTTCTTGGGATCATCTTATGATTTTTAGAATTTTCTTACAATCTTACTGGAGTGATCAGCTCGGAGTCTTTGTAGAACTTGTTAAAAACCTTGACCTATGACCTCTATAACCTAAAAACCTTCAAAGCTATTAAATCGTTTAGAGTATTCGTAAAATCTTCTTAGGGCAATCTTAGGATCCTGTTGGAATATTCTTACTATAATCTTAGAACCCTCTGTTAAAATATTGCTTGAATCTTGAGAACCTTCAGTATCATTAGAATTCATACACTCTTTCTAGAAAATAAGTAGAAACTTCTAACAATCCTCTTAGGGATAATTTTCTGATAATCTTCTTAGAGTCTACAGAAAGAACGTCCAGAGCTTTCAGAATTCTTTTAAATCTTCGTAGGATTCCCTTAGCCTCTTGTTAGCGCCTCCTAGTAGGTAAATTTTGCAAAGCGTATAGCGTTTTAGCGTATTTTTCAAAAACGTGTTTGCTGATTGTTCCGAGGATTTTTCTACCAATTTAGAGGAGCAGCCAAATGCATGGCCTCTACAGCTAGGAGCAACACTTTGAGTGCTTTTAATCTCGTTTATCATATTCAAACAAGATTTGACTGTCTAGTTTCCGATATTACACAGTACTTAAAGCTGCAAAAACGATCTGTTTATATAGACGTTTCGTTTGTAAGATCATTATGTGACCGTTGATCAATTGTCTATACTGTCTACAGTTTCAACAGCATTTAATCTCATCCAACTTTTGGTATAGGTACATTTTTCTAAGAGGGAATACGCCATTAATAGAGAATATTATGAATGATATAGAAAAAAATAACGCCCCTAATTCAAATAGTGAATATTTTTTACAGGACATGCCATTTCACATTGTAGGGGTTGTAGTTACAAAGATACGGGATGCAAACATTCTATCGAAAACCTCCAAGCGAAAAATTAATGTTCATTTTCCAATGCACCACCCTCACATGCTAAGCGGACCTCCACGGCCATCGGCTCCTGTATGTCCGAGCTTAAAGAATAAAGGGATGCTGTGTTTCCAAACTCATCATACTCAAACACATGAGATTTATGCAGTTTTTTTGTTGCTTCACTTTTGTTAGCAGATCTTAGATTTAGATTCATCGCCCTAAAAAGCATATAATCCCGGAAACCAAAATAATGTTTTCCTTCGCGAAATCCTCAAATTGACTGGACAAATTTATTAAAATTAAGGATTTCACCGCCTTGGCATCGAAGAAAGAACGTATAGGTGCAGTTAATATAGATTATAGGCTATTGTTAGCCTTCAATTATACTCGATTTGCGGTTGCACCTACCTAGTGCCTAATTATCATTTAACGGTATTCACTTTGTTTATTATTCGAACGCTGTTCTTGTTAAAACTTGGATGACAAATTATTATAAAACTGGTTG